GATTATCAGATATATTTGTATGTCCGCCCGATCGAATAATGCAAAGTTTTAAAGTATCAATGACATGCAATGGACTGGGATTTAACAAACTTTGTATTTCTAAAGCTGAAAACCTTGAAACCTTGTTTGCATTTTTAGACAAATAATTATGCAATACGATTCGTTTAAAAGTCCATGTGATTGTCTGTTTAAGACGTTTTCTAACACAGGCCATAAAAAAAAATGATTTTGTCTAAAATCCATTTATTTCATAAAGTTTATTAAAAAATATATTGTTGTATCCGCATTTCCGATGACGTCTAGATATTTCGGCTGAACATTCAAATATATAGACACAAAACACAAAAAACAGCTGACTGCTCTTTAATTTTGTGGGCCTTTCATCAATATCTTATAATTATTTATAATGGCTAAGGGTTAGATTGATTGTTTCTGTCATATAATTTTCTTTATTGGAAAAAAACTGTAATAAAAAGAATTAACTCAGGTGACCTATAGCTATCCGTTTTCGTCTGTCGTCGTGGGGTAACATTTGAACATTTTCAGCTTCTTCTCTGCAACGGCTCGTCCAATGTCAAACAATTTTGGCATAACGCATCTATGGGTGAAGGGGGAACAAAATTGTGAATTTCGTGGTCCCTGTCCCACTGGGGCCTGAGGGGTGGGGCCAAAACCACTAAAATTAGTGCAATCTTTTAAATTCTTCTTCTTTACTCCTGGACATCAAACGGGTCAAACCGCTGGCATGATTGTAATGAGCATTGAGTCCTCTAACAAAATTGTGAAATTCATGGCCCAATGGTCAGGGGTTCTAGTGCTAGGGCAGGGCTCTATAGATTTTACAGTGAAAATGCATTATTTCTTTGAAAATCTTTTTCTCCGCTCCTGGGTATTACATAAACTAACTAAGTACAAAGTTATGATGAACAAGAGTACCTCTACCAAAATTGTAAATTTTATGGCCCCAGGGTCAGGGGTTCTGGTGTTAGGGTGGGGCTCTATTGAATAGATTATATATGCATGTATATAGTGGAAATGCATTAATTCTTTGAAAATCTTCTTCTCTGCTTCTGGGTATTAAATAGCTAACCAATGCAAGTACATAGTTATGATATGCAATCTTGAGTGCCTCTACCAAAATTGTGAATTTTATGGCCCCGGGGTCAGGGGTTCTGGTGTTAGGGTGGGGATCTATTAATTATATAGTGAAAATGCATTTAATTCTTTGAAAAATCTTCCTTTCTGCTTCTGGGTATTAAATAAACTAACTAAGTACATAGTTATGATGAGCAAGAGTGCCTCTATCAAGATTATGAATTTTATGGCATCAGGGTTAGGAAATTTTGGTGTTAGGGTGGGGCTCTATTCATTAATTACATGTATATAGTGAAAAACATTAAATCTTTGTAACCAAACTTAGCAATTGTTAAGTGTATAGTTATGATTAGCAATGGTGTCTCTTTCAAAATTGTAAATGCCATAGCATCTAGCTTAAAATTTTAAACATGAACCAAATCCAATCATTTGAAAGTTGTTGCATGATGCTCAGGTGACCTAAAAGGACCATGGGCCTCTCGTTCTATCATACCCTTTGTTCTGAAAATTTATATATATGAGATCTAACCAAATCTGTTTCTATGCCACTTTCCACATTTTTTAACTGAATGCTCGATGCTTGCTGACTTTGACTTTTAAAGATCATGGCGAAATATTGCCGGTTGTTAAAAAAGGATATTTTTTCTCAAAGACATCACGTCATTTCTCTACAGCCTCATTATGACACATACAGTGTATTTATTCTCAAAGTATATATAGTAATACATGTATATATACCGCGTCTCTTTGGTGGCTCAGTGATACATGTAAGAGCGTCAGCGGAGTAAAGAGATGATCTTTACGTTTTGGGTTCAAATCTAATGCGACGAAGAGACCGATCCTTCGGATGAAACCCAAAAGGTTGTTGTGTCCCTGTAGGTGTTGGCACGGAAAAATCCCTCACTGCTTAATGGCCCCAGGTATCGAGCATACTGAGGTGAAAATGTACAACCTCCATCCCCCCGGCAAGAATGATTGAAAAAATCCTCGAGAGGGACGCTGAACGACAAACATTATAATATATCGCCCTTTTTACTTCCTTCTCGATTCAGGATTGTGTTGCATCTGTAATAGAGAGTGACACGGCGAGAAGGGTAACCAGGGCTATTAAAACACTTTTTAAATGTTCTGTGAACCTGCAAGATTACTTAGACTAAGTATAAGTTTAATTTCATAAGTATAAATTTTATAACCTGATTGGGTATATTGAAAGGTCGGGACAAAGTTATTTTTCTTACTATGCCTTACACGCATAGATCAATATTTAAATGAGGTACCAAATGTTCTTCTATCATTCAACCAAGAACAGATGGAATGTTAGAGGATCTCACATTTTAGGCGTGGTTTGCGACGAAAATACATGTATACTGACCGATCAGCGATAACTAAAATAATTTTTAATACATTTAAACTAAGTTTCGTATAACGTACTTATTTTTAACTGGACCAGAATGTGTAAACTGATAGAGATGTTGCCATAGAAGAACATTTGGTACCTCATTAAAATATTGACCTATGCGTGTAAGGCATAGTAAGAAAAATAACTTTGTCCCGACCTTTCAATATACCCATCCATGTAGTAAGTGGAGACCGGTCCCTAATTCGGATGAGACCGTTTGAACCGAAGTCCCGTAAGTGATAGCACGAAAAAGATCCTCCCCTCCTTACATGTAATGTCCCTAAGTGCCGAGTATAGGACAAAATTTGTAGCTCTCCACCGACAAGTGGTGGTGTCTCCATATGAGTGAAAACTTCTCGAAGTTGTCGTTAAACAACAACAATCAATCAATGCCCAATCGCAGTTTACAAAATATTTTTGTGTACTTATGATTTGTATGTAATTTTCAATTGTGGTGGAAACAAATACTATCATTAACTGAACATGACGTCATTGCAGCATAGAGGCGTAAATATTTACACAATTTACATGTGATCAAGCAGCCACAGATCGGAGAGAGTTATATGCGGTCTCTGAACCGTAGTTATAGACGATATATATATATATATATATATATATATATATATATATATATATATATATATATATATATATATATATATATATATATATATATATATATATATATATATACACAGTATAGGTGTGTCAAGTCTTGGCAAAAAGATGGTACCTCCAAGCTCTTACTTTTTTGGCTGCTTATAAGAAGTGCTTATTGAAGGATTGATTGATTTTTACGCCGAGACGGCAATTTTTCAGCTATATTTTGGCGCGGAAATTAATACTGTTTGAACAGTTTTGAATATTGTTGGGGTTTTCTGTTGGTCTCCAGTGAGACTACTCTTTTTCGAAAACCATGGAAAGGATCTTAAGCATCCCAAGAGGGTTGTAATCCTTGACACTGGGCATCATTTCACGTCCCATCCGACGGACTGGATTATTACAGGTGAATTAAAGTGATGAAGATTAAATATTTTTAGCATAAAATATTTTTGTTATAACATGTATTATGTCATTTACTGTAATCATAAATTCCCATTAACTCTTAAATTCAATCTAAAAAAAATATCATATGAATTTTTATATCAACCCAGATATTTACAAATACTAAAATTCCCATTTCGCCTCAGTACTTTTTAACTTTTCTTACCTGCATTTCACAGTTAAGGCGAAATGTTTACACACCGTGTAAAATGCTTGGTTGCATAAACAATCACGGGTATGAATATTAATTAAGGGATATTTAGATTTCCGATTGTTTTCTCTGTGATAACCCTTTGATAGTTCGGTATGACTGGACAAGATAAAAGGTCGATGTTTGTCGAAAAACCAGAAAGTTATTTTGACTTGACATGAAATGCTAAGTTGACAAAAATGATATGAATGGCGTAAAATTAAGCTAGTTGATATCTTGATTATATAAGCCGATTGTAAATTTTGCCAAGTGAAAGGTCAAGAGTTTGATACGCATGTCAATTTCGTGCAGCCGTCTTCGTATCTGGTCAGTGTACTAAAGAAAAGATTTTTTTAAAATTCATATTTACTGATTTATTAAATACTTATTACAAATAAATGTAAATATAATGAATCATTGCCTATAGATTTTATGACAGGTTATCACTGTAAAGTAGGAATATTATACACGGGATAATTTGCATATAAACGAGCGAAGCCTGTCAAAAGTAAAATTGTCGGTCATCCTTTAACTTGAATGTGGAGAACACTTGCAGTTGTAAACATCACTTTTCTAAAAAGAACCAACATGGTTACTCTAGGGTTTGATCTTGAAGTGTTTTTTTTTTTTGGGGGGGGGGGGGGTCATGTTAATAATAATGCAGCTAATACATGTATCAGAGGGGGGTGGAGAAGAAAGAATTTGACATTGCAATGTGTGGTCCTCTAATAAATAATTTGCTCTGTCTGTTAAATCGACTTATGTTTGTTTAACCGGCGATAAGGTGACACTTTAAAGAAAAATATATAACTTGCTAAAGAGTTCATATTTAAAACGATAATGCTGACAGAAATGTTTTAACAATTCAGATATATTACTGAAAAGCTGAAAATAAAAAATTAATATAGTTTCTTTACTGTTCTAAAATAAATGCATTTACACTGGCAAAATTATATCAGCATTCCAGTCCCTTCGGTTTTAAACAAGCTTTGTCAGGTGTGAAAGGGGGGATTCGATAATGTAGAACTGTTCCGTACTAAGTTTCTGTCGGACATCTGCACCTTATTCCAAGGTGCCCGTGACTAATGTTACTAAAAATGACTAGCCATATATTTCTCTCGTGCTGAAGTCATATATTTATAGGACGAAAAGTACTCTTTCAAATACTTAACAACATTTAGTGGCCGGAATAAATTTTAATGCATTATAAATCAATCAATATGCAGATATGGGATAAAATATCTCCTGTTCGATGTTTTTGGGTCATAACGTTTCCCGACTTAGGCTAAAGAGAGACGTTATGGCTAGGAACATGGGACCGCTTATTTTCTCCATTCTCTTGATTATAGCAGTCAACGCAAATCCTGAAAATTCACAGGGACGAAAGTCATTCAAAGGGTAAAATTTATGTTAATATTCTGCCTTTTTATTATTTTTTTTAAATGGCATTTTTTTTTTAATATTTCTTTTCAAAAGATTTTTCACTTATTCGTGAAAATAAAAAAAGAATGACATGGTAAAATGTATTTTGTTAAAGAGATATATTTCGTTCTCACTTCAGATATCAGGTTCTATCAGTTCGCGCTGAAAATGAAATGCAGCTCGAGTACCTGAACCTTCTGCAGGCTGGACCGGAAGTATGTAAACTACCGCATTGCAAAATATATTTCTTTCTTGTTAACGATATTTTTAATTTTTCCCATTTTCCCTCCTTTTTACTTAAACAAAAATAATTATGGGAGAAAATAACGATTGAAAAAAAATAATAATTTAAGGAAGAAAATTGCGATTGTATGATCATCGTAGTGGGACTCAGTTATGAAATAAAAAAAATTACTAGGAAAAAAAAAATCAGACTTTAATTATCATCATATCATAATTTATATTTCCCAAGATCGACCTTTTCCAAGTCCCCTCTTTGGCCCAAAAGACGGATATCCTCGTCCCACCTAATCGACTGGGAGAGGTAAAGAAATCCCTGAAGAAGATGAAACTGGATTTTAAAATTATTAATAAGGACATGGAAAAGTAAGAGTCTTATCAGGTTATATCATTAATTTATCTATAGATACATATATTTATCAACTCAGATTATGTAAAAACACAATCAACATTCATTAGCGGCTCTTATTAGCTTCATGCAATTGAATTGCTTTTAAAGTTAGTGAAACAAGTTGATTTCTTTAGCATTGTATTGTGATAGAAATTCGCAATTTTAGACATTAAGAAAAATGAAATGATAATTGACAATTAAACATGTAGTTCGCCAATTTCTTTTCCTTTGCTCCCTTCAAAATATAGAATTCCTTTCTATCTTGATTAGAAATATTCAGTAAGCCTTGTATATCTTTGAAGTTAAATATTAAAATAATTAATTACTTAAACCAATCTTAGAACCATTGAGCGGGAGCGCCAAGAAATGGCAACAAGAGCGACCAACGACATCTGGACCACCTATCTCATGTGGGAAGACGTAAGAAATTACGATTGAACGATCATAATATTTATACATATATACATTAAAATTTGTTATACCCCCCGCTTGAAAAGCGGGAGGGTATATAGTAATCGTTAATTCCGTCCGTCTGTCCGTCCGTCCGTGTGTTACGCTTTTGGGTACCCATCTCTTATCCGCAACTCCTCTCATACCACTGAATGAAATTTAATGAAACTTTCACAGAATCTTGCCATTGTGCACCTCCTATTTTACTTTTTGATCTGACATATATTTTGGATTGTCCAGAGCAAAACATGGACACTGCCATTTTATTCATATGGGAGGCGGGGGGGGGGGGATCATTTAGTGAGCTCATTGCTCACAGTGCCTCTAGTTTAATCTGTGTTTTGTGTAATATGTAATCCAAAAACCCGTCTAATGTAAATGTTACGTTATGTCTTTGTGATAAATTAATTAGTCTTGAAAGTTGTCTTTCCTGGTATATTACACTGTCTACATATAGAAACACGATTGTGATTTAAAGCAATCAATGCATGTACATGTATAGTCGTTTCAACAACAAATAAAACAGCTGTTAAAATACCAATACAGACAATCAAAGATATATTTAAAACACACACACACACACACACACACACACACAAATTAACACCCCCTCTCCCAATAAAATAGAAATAAAAGGGGAAAAAAGGGTAAGAATCATTTTAGAAGCTGACAAAGATGCAGATACGGTAATATAAGGTAGCGTATAAAGGTGCTTGCATATATTTTTTTATGTTTTATTCCCTCATTTAAATTCTGTGTTTTAAAATTTCAAATTTTCTCGAATTTCGGATCATACATATTAAGCTACATTTACAGTTTGAGCTTTGGCTGCAAGAGAAAAGTACAAATTTCCCAGGAATGATGGAACTAAAGAGCATCGGTAAATCTATTGAGGGCAGGGACATCTGGCAGGTCAAGGTCAGTACCGGTCAAATTAATTTGCATAAATTGTAAAGCAGAGTATGTTTACAGTCTGTTTAGATCTGATTGATTATTTTTATATATTTAAACAATAAAATGTTTTCTTTGTTTGTTATTACTGGAATTAACGGAATCAGCTGTTGCAGAAAAATTACATAACCCGCGTAAGCGGGTTATATAAATTTTTTTTTCTGCAATAGCTGCGACCGTTAATTTCAGTAATAACAAACAAAGAGAGACATTTTATTGTTTATATTTATATCTGTTTAAATAATCATTTAAAGTACGATTAAAAAGATTAATTACTGTATTAATGATGCGAACGTCTTTATACGTTTTATTGATGGAACAGCCACTGATCGTGAAATCTGTATAGGCGACATGCCTAATGTAGTTTATGCAGTGATTAACGCAATGGGTTTTCTTAAGAAATAAAGGAAAAAGTATTCAGTGGATGTAAATATATAATAATGTAATACATTGTACGTATGCGTTGTTCAATTTGTTGAGCTTAATAAATGAAAGACGTTGTTTTCATAGCATGGTTTCCTAACTGAAAACAACATTATTTTGTGTCAAAATAAAAAAAGAATTAACTTCAGACTTACATAATGTAGGAATGATGTTGTATTTAAGCGTGTAATGTTTTATAGGTTGCCGCGGATGTTAACGCACCGAAAAAGCCAGCCATGTATATCGAATGCCTTGCGCATGCCCGGGAATGGATCACAGGGTCTACGTGCCTTGGGAGTATTGATATTGTACGAGTTATCTTGACTTAAATAGTTATATTTAAAAAAAAAAAAAAAGTTAAATGTTTGATTATGTATTTAATTGATATCAGATTCTTTTATTTTTATTTTTTTTTTTTTTGCATTTTTAAAAGTGAAAACAATATTTAGCATTTTATTTTTTTATTTCTAAATTTTCATAAAGAAAAATAAGGAAATATAACCGAACGTTAAATTTAAATAGATACAATTTTATTCTTAAAAAAAAAAATCTGCGTTTCTTCTTTTCATCACAGCTGACGGCTAACTATGGCAAAACTGGTACTCTGGGACAACAAGCTACGTTTATGCTGGATAAGTTTGACTGGTACTTTATTCCCATGATGAACCCGGACGGTTACAACTTCTCTAAACAAAACGTGAGACTAATAAAAATAATTTTATATTTCTATCACGAAGTCATTTTTTTTTAATTAAACTCTCTCTTTTGAGATGAAAATCATTATATCAATTGTCTATTTTATTTATAAAATACAAAACTAGCCTTGAAATATCTGTTTAAGAGGATTGAGTTGCAGGAATTTAAAATCTCAAAGTTCGACTAGTATCATGTTGTAAATTTTGAATTTACTAGGGGGAGGTAAATGCAAAATTTACAACATGTTGTAAATTTTGCATTTACCTCCCCCTAGTAAATTCAAAATTTACAACATGATACTAGTATATTTACTGGACTTTAACATTTGTTATTTATTTATTTTTACCATTTTATTATTCATTCACATATTTATCATTGTAATTAAGTAATTCCGTTTCTCTTCGTAGCGACTCTGGCGTAAGAATAGGAGAGTCAATGTTGTCTCCTCATGTCCAGGCGTGGATCTCAACAGGAATTTTGCAGCTGACTGGGGTGGTATGTGTCTTCTACATATTTTACTTAAATGAAGTAATGTTTTTTTTTTCGCGAGAAGAGAAATTAAAAACTAAAAACACTCTGTCCTGACTCAAATTATTATTATTGAAAAATGAATCTTTATCAAAAGGGGTGTATTTTTTCGCGAGAAGAAATATTTAGAATTAACGAAAAATGTTCAGTTTGATTGAGAGGAAATAGCTTGAATTGTAACAAATCTTTATCACAAGCAATTAATATTAAAGCATAATAGGTGATAGAATTTTAAGAATGAAATTATCCTTAAATTTAGGTGCGGGCTCATCCAGTAACTGGTGCTCTGACACTTACCGCGGAGAAAGTGCGAACTCCGAGCCCGAGGCACAGGCAGTTATCAATGCTGTGGCGGAGACTGGTGACGTCAGATCCTATCTTTCTATCCACTCTTATTCTCAGCTTCTGCTCGTACCGTACGCCTATGCCTCTGTCAAAGCACCCGACTACAATGAACTGGTACGCATCAGCATATCTACGAATTATTTTTTTATTCCGATATTTTTAAATCTGAGTACCATCATCATGAAATCAATGTAAACAGGGTTAGATTTTGTTCTTGTAGAAAAATGTTGGAGATATCGCTATGTTGGCGTTGAGACAGGTTAATGGGGTCAGCTTTACCGTTGGACATGGTCCAGAAATCCTCTGTAAGTCAAAAATTTTCCATTCTTATTTATTAGAGAAATTACAGTGATGCTTGTTTTATCGGTCTGTTTTGTAACCCGAATGAAACATATGGAGATAAATAATGAACAGTATTCAGGATCAAAAATTCATAAAACAATACAAAATAGGAGCAGATCAAACACGGACCTCCGAAACGTCAGATGTGGGATCAGGTGCCATGAAGGTGTGATCATCCACTGCATATCATATCTAATGTAATGTAACCTTTTAGTCCTTTCCACTAAATTAAGTTGTTTAAAATATTGTTTGATAGGAAATTATATTTGTCTAATACAGAGATTTTTTTGAAACCACTGGTCTCCAAGGTGTCCAGTTTAAACATGTTTTCGGTAGTAGACTGAGGTAAAATCTTGAGGGACCTTGCTGAGATATAACATAACATGTGGTCTTATTTATGGAAACATTAAAAATTTAAATTTAGTGCATGTGTATTCTTCTAGATGCTGCATCCGGTGGAGCCTTCGACTACTTCAAGCTGAATGGTGTGAAGTATGCATACGTGTACGAGTTACGTCCCGCTAGCGGATCCGGAACTGACGGTTTCATACTTCCGGCGTCTGAAATTGATCCTAGCATCCGGGAAACTTTTGCATCATTTTACAGCTTTGCCGACCAAATACCAGCATGAAAAGATTCATGCAATCACTAAACAATGGACATCGAATATTGATTTTGCTTTAATTGTTGATATATGAATTATAAAATATTAAAGCTTTTGCAAGTGTGTTTATTCGGGTTTTTCTTTTCCCTTTCTTTAACTAGGATTTTTTAGGATTGGACTAAAGATGTCTACACTTACTTGTCTATGTGTATCTATTTGTCACATATCTGCTAACAAAGTCATTGTATCCACCATAGAACTTAAGAAATGGGGAGACTGCTGCTATTTTCAGAAATGTGTTTATGAGTGATTTTTTTTTTGTTTTAGAAATTGTTGCTACGTATAGTATAAACCCCATACAGGTTGAGGAAACGTAAATTCCGCTATAATAGTGGAATCCCACTATCATGATAGTGAAATTTAGCTATATTTGCTGCCGTAGATAGCCTCAATTTCCGATACCACGCAAGGTGTTTGAAGCACAAGTCATGGTGGGTATAAAAATGAAGAAAACTGTCACACATGCATGTTTTGAATTTTAATAAATTTTTTATCGTTGCGTTTAATAATGCGGGCTCTTTTTTTTAACGGAAGTTGCATTTTTAACATAACAACCGATAATTGCAGGGTATTTAAGCCTGTTTGAATCTCACTTATTCCCCATTTATGTGCACAAATTGATGCTTGATACTATTGTCAACTCGCACTGGAAGGGATTTATGGAATTGAAGAAGAACAAGCAAATTCAAAAAAATGTGGTCCCCCGCTTACGGTGTCTTTGTGGGTGAGATGTCATTTTTTATGACACATTGTCTCAGATACGAAGGCCCTATCATATGTTATTTAGAAATTATCACTGAAGTTGATTTTTTTTAAAATAAGGTCAATCGTGAAGGTCAAGGTCAATGGGCCACAAATCATAGCATGTTTGGAAATATATTGTAACAGGTAAAAGTGGGTGAAACTCCAAAGTCAAAAGGTCACATTTGGTGGTACCCAAAGAAAGGTCTTGCCACAAGGAATACTCATATGAAATATGAAAGTACAATTTTTTTAGCTCCACATAATCAAAAGTTATGGGCAAGGTTAAAGTTTTTCAAATAATTATGCATTAAAAATCTTTTTAGCTTTTCGGCACAATATATAAATCTTATTAAACACTTAGGAAAGAAATATCGAAAAATCAAACTTAAATTTAAAATGTTGTTGTTTAAACACAAGAATCTTCAATGAAATCACTGCTCATTATTTAGCATAAAAAGTGTCCAAAAATATCATTGACTCAATTTCGCGGAAAAGGGGCAATGATTATATTTGTACATCGTGTGTTAATGATTTCAGTGCATATTCAAAAAAATTTCAAGATAAAATTATTCAGCATATTGAAATGGAATGTATATTAATGGATGAATTAAAAGATCTTGCATCAGCATTCGGGAAACGTAAAGACTGTTTACCTTTAACAGTTCAAAATGTCTATAGAAATAAATGAAATCAAGTAATTTTTCATTTAAAAACATGGCTAAATTCTTGAAATGATATTGTTGTTGATTCTTTAATGTCTACTGCTGACAAAGATATATCAGATTAAGAAAACAAGAAGTGTCTTGCCTTTGTATCGTGCATTGAGTCCATATATAAGGCAAGCCTTTCAAACCTCGTAACTTCTTTAACATTTGCTAGAAACATTATCAGTTATGGTAGCAAGACCCTGTGTGACTTCTGAGACTCAACCTGCAGGTTCCTACAAAACGATTTTGAGTTAGTTGAAAGCACAAAGTGGTTCAGAAATTATCTGTCCTGTCAATCAATATGTTATAAGCTTTTAAGATAATAATCAAGTTTTGTGCAGAAACTGGAGGGTTGGACACAATGCACAAGTAATTATTACTATATAATTGCATCTACTTCCTCTAACTTGTTTCAAGTTACACAGCATCAGCCAGAATTATCACCTTTTCCAATTCTCAGGTAATATTGAGCATTAGCTATAAATGTACAAGAAACTTTGTGAAATTTAATTTAAGCATATTTTACAATAAAATATTTATTTCAATGATTGTAAACAAATCCATCCAATCAGGCATGTATTTCATAGACAATATATATATTTTTCAAAATTAATTTTTCTTATGGTTTTATATATTTGTCTTTGACCATAATGAAATATGAAAAAAGGTGCACAGAATATTTTTTGCATTTTGAAATTTCTGCATCGTCAATCAATTACCTTTCACTCCCTAAAAAAAATGTATATTTTATAAAATTTATAGTTGTATTGCAAGTTTATTTTCACCTTAATTATAATAAAGCGAGTATATTTTCAAAATTCACAGCATACAAAATCCACAGTATTTAATGTGTTTTCTTAGGGAAAAAGTACTTGAAAAGTGAAAAACATGGACACGGATCATGTTTAAATATTCATAAAATAATAATAAATTGTTGCATTTCAAGTTTATTTACTTATACATGTATATTTTCGAATTTTACATAGCATACAAAATCCACAGTAATTCGACGTTTCTGAAAAGGAAAAAACATATACAGCTGCTTATAAGTTTTCCCTCCTGATTTTATTGCAATTCACCAAACCTAAAATCTATCAAATAAAAAAAAGATTACATGTAAAATAAGAAATAGTTCCTTTTTCATCAGGTTCAATTGTTAATAGTTTATTCATTAAGAAAAAAAAGTTTGTGTGTTTGCTCTCTCTTGACCAACTATCTAAAAATGGCGTGATTCAAATTATCATTGAAAAATTCATAGGAAACAATATAATCTTTAACATTTCCCCTGAATGTTCATATTCTTTATACAACTGCATTTCGAAATTAAAAAAAGAGAAGAAAATCCCACGTACCTACCGACCATATTTTTTTTATTTGAGTAGAAAGAGAGCAAACGAACAATGGAAAATATGGTGTTATGAGGTATGCTTACCATGAAAATAAAACCTTCTTTTAATTATAACACATTTTCATTTTTAAAGTTCACAAACTAAATGTAATTCAATTATGCTTTTAGCAGTTTCAGAAATTAATAAATCATAAAATTTGTTTATGTTTGGTGTTTAAAAATGTCCCACTGAATCGACAATTTTTTGTTATGCCTGGGATTCGAACCCGCGACAATAGGATCACCTCCTTACTTAGCGACTTAGAATAGAGAATACGCTCTAACCACTGCGCCACGCGGGCGACAACATGATCATTGTCCACCAAAAATTTGTCCAAATTTGTATACATAACCAGAAGTCTCTGTCGAGACTAGAGCTCTTCTGGTTTGTACTTATAATAAAGGAAGAGAAAAGTAGCAGTTTGATTAATCATCAAAATCGAAAACACAAAACTGATAATTACGCCTTACTTAGCGACTGAGACTAGAGCAGAGGCTCTAACCGCTGTGCCAGGCGGGCGACAACATGATCATTCTCCACCAAAAATCTGTCCAAATTTGTATATACAAAAACTCACTTAGAAACGCTTTATCATCATCTTCGTCGCCATTATATCCGATCCTTTATGGACAATGCGAAACCAAGGTTGAAACCAGTCTGTCGAGGCCCATTGTCCATTAAGGAAGGCGTAGTAGCAAGCAGAAAACCACCAACCTCCGCCGTAGCTTCCAGCACAGTTAGAAGTACCCATCCTATCGTGATCTCTGTCCCAAGTAGAAAAGAAATTCCCTCCTGCACCCCATTCTTGCATCTTGTCCCCTATAGAGAAAAATCAAAACACAGTTAAACTTCTTTATCTCGAGTCGCCCGCGTGGCACAGTGGTTAGAGCGTCTGCTCTAGAGTCGCAAAGTAAGGAGTCAATCCTTAAGTTAAGTCGCGGGTTCGAATCCAACTGTGGGACGTGGAGACAGGTCCTTCAGATGAGACCATATAAACCGAGGTCCCGTGTCGCAGTAGGTGCTGGCACGAAAAAGATCCCTCACTGCTCAATGGCCCTGAGTGCCGAGTATAGGACAAAATTTGCAGCTCTCCATCGGCAAGTGGTGGCGTCTCTATATGAGTGAAAAATTCTCGAAAGGGAAGTTAAACAAGTTAGAATCAATCAATCAATCTTTTTCTCGAACACCGATATCTGGTATGTCAGGGAACTTTTCTTATCGAAAATTAATTTTCTGTATGAAGAAGAATGCCCTACAGTCATCTACAAAGTTAGAGGCTATGTAGTTTAACCTCATTATCTTGAACACCGATATTTCGAATGTTAAGTGAACTTTATTTTCTAGAGAACAAATTTTATGAATGTAAAGAAATGTTATCTAGTCAACAAAAGAGTAAAAGCAAAATAAAGTTGAACCTAGTATTGTGGAACACTGTTCTGAAGGCTAAGGGATGTTAGAGATATGTCAATACGTAAAAGAGTATCAATGAAACATAAGAACAGTGTTCAAGATCAAAAGTCCATAAAAAATACAAAATAAGAACAGAGCAAATACGGATCTCCAGAACATCAGAGATTGGGATCAGGTGCCATGGAGGAGTGAGCATCCTCTGCCAACCGGTCACATCAGCTGTGTGCTCCTTGTCATGATCGGAAAATTACGGAAAAATTAGTCGTCAACTCAGTGTATAAATAATAATTTAACAATTAGTATGAAAAACGTCAGTCATCATTTGACTAAACTAACAACAAACCAATCCTTCTCTTTCACTTGACTGTTATTTAACAATAATTATATGAATCATACCTAAGGTTCCGGTTGGAATTCCAGACAAAGCGAGTTGGTACTTTTCTGTTTCATTCGATATTGAGAACCTCTCATATACCTCATATAGGGTTGTACCATTTACCAGAGTTATCGAGACATAGAGAGAAGAGTCGTTTCCCTTTGTTAACTGGTATATCAGCTCGTTTCCTGTTTTGATGTATATTCAAAATATTTGATAAATGTATTGCAATACAGTTTATGCATGCATACATTCTTAAATTATATATCAAAGATGGAATACTAAAGCTCTTCGATGCAGTATTGATAATAGTTTAATTTGTGGATCCATATTTAAGCTCGCTGTTCTGAACCTGGAGGATTTCTAGAAAAGGTCAATATTTTTAAAATCAGCGGGAAAATCAAATTGTAGAGTAATCTAAAAATTCCAAAATCTAAGCCAGATAGGAAAACTGAGCTTACATTTTTAATTAATCTTGCTGCCACATTAAGAAAGATACCTGAATATTATTAACTTTCTAAAGCTTTTGACAGCCATTGGCGTTATTGTATTTGAAGCATATAACAAATATGCGCGAAAACTTGAAAAGTGTTTAATTTTATGCCGGTATGTTTCGTTAAGCCAGACTCGTGTTTTTTCCCCTGGAAAAAATGTCCTGTTTGATAAAACGTCCTGACTATTGAAACAGACATAGAAATTACATGTATTCCAAATAAACTTAGTCCAGAAAGGAAAGCTACCGTACAATGGCTGTCCAGATTATCAAGGATTTAATGTCTTTACCGATCCAGAAATCTTCTTCTCCTGGAATCCCGAACCCGGCCTTATATTCATCCCATGTTTTGTTAAAGCTCACAGATCCATCCACACGTTTTTGTATTGCCTTTGAGAAATAAAAACAGTAAATCATGCTTATAACGAACAGGCCGATAATGAAACTACGCTTCAAGGGAAGTGATACTCATTCTCTATGTCTTTAAACTACACCCTCACAAAAAAAAAAACAAACAAACAAAAGGAACATACCGTCCATCCTCTATTCAGAGTCTCCATATCACATAAAACACTGATAGAAGAAGGGACAGTCTCATACGGATAAATTTCGTAAACACCTGTAGTAGTTTTACCATTTTCATGATGTTCTTTACAATCTCTTGGTAAACGTACTACAAAAAAAAAAAAAAAAAAAAAAAAAAATTCCAATGCGGAAAGGCTCTATACGCAAATTTTTAAAGCTATGCTTTTAAATGTCTAGTTAGAGGGTAACCTCTGATCTAAAATATATGAAATTATTTACATGAAATGATAGTATTGTGACATATTTCTGCCCCTAAATGCAAGATAAATTCTGTTAACATGCAAGAAAAATAAGTCAACACGATTGATGATTATGTCCACTTGCGTGAAAATTATGTTAGCATGCAAGTTACAAAGAGAATATAGTTTTAGTATGGGTCAATTTACTTAAAAGCGCCAGTTTCTGACATCATACACACAAGATGCAACAAACCTTTGTTGACATGAGACATTTATATTAACATGCAACATAATTATGTGGACGTGCAACATATTTACGACAAAATGTGACTTATTTATGTTTACATGCAACATAATCATGTAGACATAGGTCTTATTTATGTCAACATGTAAGTAATTTCAACAATCAAGTCATTTATGTCAACATGCAAGATAAAAAGTTTCACGTCAACATACGTATCTTCCATGCTGGCATAATACCGCATATTTGAATTCATCTCACAAAATATATGCGACGTTATCAAAGGTCTATCCTATTATTCCTCATTCACCTCCTATTTTTTTGAAGAAAAAAAAAAACAAAACAAAACAAAAAAAAAAAAAACAAAAAAAAAAACTGATAAATGAGTTAAGTCGGAATTTATCTATCCATCCATACAGTGTCGGTACTTAGTCACGGGTTATTGCCCCTTTTCCATGCATTAGTGAAGGTAAAATGTGGATGATAAAAGTATCCGATTTAATTTTTTTTTAATAAGAAAATAAAAAATTCTATCATAATTTCCAGTTTGTAAAGTTAAGATTAAGTCTAATGAAGTAGCATGAATAATGTTGTTCACATGAATATTGCTCGATGGCAAATAATTGATTGGACAGAAACAGGTCGATTTGCCACCCTTCCTTACTTACACTGGCACATGGTACAAGGGATAAGAATGTAGTATCTGTGCGACTATCCCGTGGTACGACTTACTGTCTGTATTACGTCAGACGGCGGGATAGTCGCATGGCCGCTCTTCTACAACACGTGGATGCCGAGCATACAGGACGTGTCTGGGACAGCAGCGGAGCGGAGAGTCGGCCCTGGCCAGAACCTACTCTGTTTGTATATATGTTATTGTATAAAAAATTAATCTATATAGTAAAGAAAAACCCCCTATGGTTACTTTAACAATATGGTGATAACCAACTTCAGCTGATATAATTAAGCATTGAATTCATATTTTTGGATGTCTTCGGTCCTATAACACACCTGGCCCTGCCGACAAATTGTTAGCGCGGTATGATAATTTGTCGGCACGACCAGGTGTGTTATAGGACCGAAGACATCCAAAAATATGAATTCAATGCTTATATTTACATTCTCTAATTTTCCTTCTTCATTCTTGCTTATTTCATTCATCTTAACTGTGAATGTAGCGCCCTTCAAAACTGCCATGGTTATTAAATGTAAGAGCCGTTTGTGACGTCAAATGACGTTAAATGACGTTGCAAAGTTAAATAACGCAAACAAACATTGCGAGGAAAAAAGCGACAAATTAATTCTTAACACACATTACGTTAATTTTTACGTTAATTTTTCAGGGTTATAGTTTTTCATTAAATTGAAATAAAATATTTACATTTTGGTGTCCCCAGAGTATTGAAAATGCTTATAGTTCCTGCTGTGTATTCTAACGCGCGGTGACAAGGTTTTGCGTGTGTTATAGAGATTTGAACGTCGTGGATTTCTCATGGATTTCATAAAGAAAATTACACTGAATGTAAATATTTAACTCTTATGTCAACATCAACATCTTGCATGTTTACAATAAATAAGTCGCATGTCTACGTACATGTATCATTATGTTGCATCTTGCATGTATGATGACAGATACTTTCCATATATACCATAGTATCTCGTTGAAACGTTTACCTTCACAATTTTCTCCGAAATGATGATTTAAACAATTGCACTTGTAACCTCGCTCACTGGATTGGTCTGCTTCACAAGTTCCATTCACACATTCATTGTTGTCACATACGCCAACTATTAAATATATCTAAGTTTTTAAAATCATTTTTTTTAATCAACTGATTATAGTTAACTGATTACTGAAAAGGGAAACGATAAAAAAGCTGGGATCAATATCAAACAATTCACAACAATACAAATATGTGACAATTAGTGAAGGGCATTAACATGAATCCCTTGAAATTCTAGAGGTGGGATCAGGTGTCTTGGAGGAGTTAGCATACACTGTCAGAACAAATATCAACATTGTCTCCAATAAATCTTTAACCTTAATACTGAAATGACTCGCTTTACATGTATATGCACTCAGACAATATCATTGTCGTCACATACATCTAACTGATTAAAAAGGGTAATGAAATGAAAGGATTTCGCAGTAGCTGTACACATGCCTGATATGTGTTTTAGTGGCCTAGTTCCCATCCTGACAAATCTTCATTTGTTTCGAATCTTAGACTTTCTTTTGTTCTTGTTATATATTCATTCAGAAATCAACATATAATGGCACATCCTTGACAGTGTCGTTAATTAACAAAAAATGTATGTACATTGCAGCAGGTGACTCGTGTGTTTTAATCAAACCCAATTAAGAGCTTATTATGACAGCTTCATACGGAATAATTAAATACATGCTGTAATAATAAGCAAGGACTTTATAAAAATGTTAAGGTTTGATAGAACCCTATTAACGGTGAGAATTATATGGTGTATTACCTTGACAGTTTTCCCCGACATAACCAGTGGTACAGTTGCACGTGTATCCTCGACCACTGGACTGGTCTGGTACACGGGTTCCATTCACACATTCATGGTTGTCACATACATCACCTATTGAAACTAATCCAGAAACATTGTTTCAAAATATGTACATGTTGCATGTCAAATTGCTTTAGAGGCTATCGGGGGCCTGAGTTCAATTGGGCCCTCCCCCGGTCAAATGCAGTGAGAGGTGAACATGAGTAATGATTGTTCCTTCCTTAAGCACCTAAATTAGACGTGAAGCTGTACAAGCTTTTAAATTAGTAGTTGAGTCAAGGTAGGCATTGACACCATGAAAAACTAAAATGCCTCTGACTTACAAGTCTGAAGTCGAAGCCCTGCACACTTAATCGTGGTCTCTATAAGCTAGATAAATAAAAATATCCCAATGGAACGGAATCAACTTATAGCCATTACATGTAAATCCATGAAGACACTTAACGTCACAACACAAAAATCTTGAACTGATTTATAATGCTTTATTGATTAGCACTTCTTTTGAACGTTGAAATTATAACGTTTTATTATAGAGCCCTGCAAAAAAATCATTTGCAACATCACAAACGAATTAACCTATAAAATGAAGCAGCCGCAGGACATCTATTTAACTTTGTTTGATTTGAACATATGCTTTGATTATAGATACTGAAGTTTTCGATAGGCCAGAATTTAGCGAGTTATTTCCCGTTGGCCACCATACTGGAGGTCCAAATGCTCATATCCCTTCATTGATCAACCAATTTAAAATTTTAATATTTGCTATTTTGAATTAGAAATCATTATTTTTCTGAAGTATATAAATTTTTGGAAGCCTCCTTTCATTAAAAAAAAATAAATATTACATATTTTCCACCAAATATTACTGCTACAACCTATTAACTTGGTAATACAAAGAGGGAAAATCACTCAGTCGACCTATAATATGGCGACCAATGGGAGATAACTTTATTGATTTGCACTTCTTTTAATTTCTTATGATAAAGGTTGGAATTTTAAATAAGAACAACATATCAAACTGATTCTTAATCTTACTTACTGTCATTGCAAATAGATTTTCTTTTTGTAAAATATCATTTTAATGTCCGAACTTAATTTATTCTTGTTCTAAGTTTTTGATTATGCTTTGTAATATAAATCATTCGCAAAATGCAAGGATATACATTTGAAGTGTAGGGTAGTTATGTTTAATGGATTGATTGATTGTATGTTGTTTAACGTCCCTTTCGAGAGCTTTTCCCTCATATGCTCAGTGAGCAGTGAGGGATAATTTTCGTGCCAGTACTACTGTGACACGAAACCTCGGTTTAAACGTTCTCATCGAAAGGACCGGTCTCCACGTCCCATAAAGGGAATCAAACTCGCGACGTATGTATGTTTAAGAATCTGTAAGATATTTTCGCTCTTTTGCCAAACGGGACCCAGGTCTGCCGTGCAGATACATGAGTTAAGGTCTCCGGCGTGGTGCATTGGTAACAGCGTCTGCTGAAGAGTTGCGGAGTGATAAGTCTTAACTTTGCGGTTTCTAAACGCATTGTGGTAGTGGAGAGCAGTCTTTTTGATGACATGATATAAATCGAGGTCCAGTTCTGCAGTAGGTGTTGCCAGGAAAAATATCACCTGCTGCTCAATTGCCGAGGAAATGTCTTCTTGTCAGTTTTTATTTCTCCTCCAAAAGCGGTTGGGTATCCATAAAAGTGAAAAATTCTGGAGAAGGACATGAACAAATTCACAAACAAACACAAATTATTAAGAAAATTAGTCATATATCTCAACTAGAAAAGAAAACAGTCACTGAGTTTTGTTTTTCTTTTTAACACTTATTAACACTTATTAATTCATAAAGGTCATTCGATCTAAAAGAAATGTAAATCTGGTTAAAATGTTATTGACATGAAAAATGTTTTTGCTTAATAAGAAAATTATGTAAATCTGGTTAATATGTTATTGATATGATAAAGGTTTTTTTGACTTAATGAGTATAAATTTCATAATTATTTACCTTCACGACGTAGTCACGTCGCCCGCGCGCATGGAACAGTGGTTAGGAGCGTACTCTGCTCTAGAGTCGCGAAGTAAGTAGTTGATTCTTACGTCGCGGGTTCAATTTCCACTGTGGGACGTTGAGACCGGTCCTTCGGATGAGACCGTATAGAACCGATGTCCCGTGTCGCAGTAGGTGCTGGCACGAAAGAGAAAATTCCCTGTTCAATGGCCCTAGGTGCCGAGTATAGGACAAAATTTGCAGCTCTCCAACTGCAAGTGGTGGCGTCTCCATATGAGTTAAAAATTTTCGAGAGGGACATGAAAGAATAAACAATGAATAATCGTATTTACCTTCACAATTATCGCCGTTATAACCAGGAAAACAGCTACAGGTGTAACCACGTTTGTTGCATTTATCCGCCTTACATGTTCCATTCTGACAATCATTGCAGTCACATACATTAACTAAAAAAAACAAACAAACAAACAAACAAAAATTAGAAAAATCTGATCATT